GGGCAGGATTTTCAAGGTCTGATGAACAATCCGGCCATCAACGTTGCCTCAGCAATGTGCTGGATGCTGGGGTCCACCAAACAGTCTCTGCTTTGTTCCCTTCCCTACCTCTTTTATCATGTTCTCTCCTTGTGCTTTTTACCCAACAATAGTTCCTTGTTTGTCCTTCGAGGAACTATCGTCATTCTGATGAAGAGGTCAGAGGATTTTCAGCCCATATTCAATTCACTCTTTACCCCAAACTGGGAAATTTTTAGATCTCTTCCCAGACTGTATTATTCCTCCAATTACGTTCCCCAGCAGTTTCATTCCTGACGTCTGTTATCCCATAATTCTGATTTCGCAATCCTAAATTCAAGTGCTTCATTCCTTTGGTACAGGGGATTTTGCATCATATAAGGAGTAAAAAAAAAAAAAGAAGAAAATAACAATAACCACCAAAATAGTCCTCCATGCAATAGTCTCAACACTTAAAGGAAACTGTGGATGTGGTACAAGGACCACACTTGGAGCCCCAGTTTTGCAAATCGGAGAAAGAGAGCAGAAAATTCTCTGCTTCTTCAGGGCAGCTGCTGACCCTTTTCTTCCTAGAACTCCCTGGAGACGTCTCAGGAGTTACTCACCTACATGTACTTAGTTGTCTGATCACCAGCCCAGAGCTATTTGAGGTGAATTGTGTTTCTCACATAGATCTCAACTCAGCAAATAAGACTGCTTGTCAGCTGAGTCATTTCTGCTAGCTTCGCATTAAGCACCATGGCTGAAGGGGATGTACAGAAGAATTTAGGCCAAGTAGGAGGGCAAAAGCTCAACATCACTCAACTGCAAACTCCCTGCAACCAGGCCAAAAAAAGGCAGAGTTCAAATGAGAGCATTGTCATAGCTGCACAGAAGAGGATCTGGCTCTCCCCATGGCTTCCGAAGGAGAATTATTTCCATTGGCATGAGGTTGACCTGAGGTGACACTCACACAACCTGACGGGACGCCCACACGTGACCTCAGCATGACAGAGAGGATAGGCAAGTCAAACTATGCTTGACCACACTGTACATCCCAAAACTGCTACCTGCAAACTCCAAGTTTTACACAGGAAACTGAAGGGAGGAAGAGAAAAAAATTAATATCAACATAAAGTGCATTAAAATAAACTGCTCAGGACAGGGAGAGCAGAAAAGGAGGGTATTCAAAAGACCCTCTGGTCTCATTCCCACATTTTTTTTTCCCTCGTTTGAATGTGTAATCAAAAATGGCTGCAAAATCACTCTAAGGCCTGCCTCATCATTTCTGTTTGCTTGGAGACTCACATTCCTGATGCTCCAAAGAGACAACACAAACAGATCAAAAAGTGTTACCTGCAACCAGCTTTATTTTCCTACTTGTTAGATTCTAACTCCTAAAATGAATAATCTCACCCCACCCTTTCAAAAAATTACTAAACTATGCCTACAGATAGGCCCCACCTGAAATTAATGGTCCACATCTGAAGCCCTCACCTCCCTAAAACTCATACTCAGGATTTTGTTCAGATGCATTCTAGAGATATTGTGGTGTCAGTGATAAAGCTGCAGTGCTGGCTCTCCAAATATCCCTCCCCAAAGCTTGAAGGCAACTCGAGGTAAAAATCCAAGCTCATTTGAAAATTACAGGGAGGTTACAAAGATTTCAAAGCTATGCAAAACCCAGCAGGAAGCACAGCCAAGCTACCACCCAGCAGAGCAGCTTTCAAAACATGCTGCATGTTCAAAGGGCTTGTAGGTTTTCCTCCTCTTGGACATCTTCCCAATAGTGTCCAGCAAGAGTGGGGAATGGCAGCACTGAAGCACAACAGGAAAACACATGCACAAGGCAAGGTCCATGCAGCCAAGTCCAGCCTGTAAATTTGGGCAGCTGAATTTACAGATGTTTTCCTGTTGCCCTACTCCTAAGACTGGCTGTTCTGAAAAGACACAGGCAGGTCGGTGGGCACATACAAAACACTGCCCAGACACCTAGAAATATATTGGGTCAATGAACTATATCCAGACTTGGTGTTGAGTTACTGGTTACCATTTAAGAGTAAACTGGTGCTGTGTCAATAAACAAACCGTAAAGAAGATGGCAGAAATCCTTTTCCCTTGCCATTTGTTCTATTTGCTGCTGCTTTTTCCTCTGCCCCATTTCTGAGCCTTGGTGCCAAGCCCCAAGTTTTTAAACCAGCACAGCAGGAAGAATTGTTGGAGAGGATCAATGCTAGGATCAATTTTCTCTTGATACATGATGGCCTGTTCCAGGGAGAAGGCAAGGTGAAGGGAAGAGCTCTCTGTCAGCAATCACGAACCCACATCAGCCTCCAGGGTGTAAAAGGCTAAAAAGATTCCTGATAATACAAGACAGAGCCAAAGAAAACAAACAACGTTGTGGTATTCCTGCCTGGGAGGCACAAATTCTCCATCACCTCCATGCTTCCTGAGCCCCCATCAAAACGATTACATTATAAAAACTGCTGAAACCAGAGTTTTTCAGGGAGGACAGTCAAGAAGTCACAGGATGACAAAAAAGTAAGCAGGGGTATTGTAGGGGCAGGAGCCCTTCTTCCCATGGTGGCTGCATATTGGCATGTATTAAACACAGACACAACAATAAGCAATAAATCACAGCCCAGGAGAAGTGCCAGGTGGAATGCACTGGAGGAAATTAAAACATCCTTCTCGATGCAGTTCAGTCTTGAAAGAAATACAAAGGCCGAGTTGACTTATCACCTACATAGCCAGGATGCTAAGGGGGAAAAGGGTTCCAACATCTGCAGCTGAAAAATCTGCAGTTCAATAATTTCCTACAAAAAAGAGCTTAGCTTTAAAAGCAATAATATCACAAACACTCTTTTAAACAAATACATAAACAATGGCCTTCCTTGGATTTCCTAAGTTTTCTTTTTTTTTTTCTCCTTTTTTCAAATGCACAGTCCCTCCACAAGCCTCAGCCATGGAGCAAAGGATTCATTGAAACATATACATCAGCTGGCCAGCACCCGACTCCAGCAAATTCTGACCTCTTGCTTTGCAAACATATGCACCATCATGCTGTCAGGAGACCCTTTCTCATGTACTTTGGTATTACCAGTGCCAGACTTAAATTGCCTAAAAGTATGACGAAACTAGTCAACGGAGGCAGAGTTTGAGTCTCCATTCCCCAAATAGCTGGACTGCTTCCTTATTTCACTGAAAAATGCCTCCAGAAAGTTTGTTTTACAAAAAAACAGCATTGGTACACAACAACTGGTACACAACAGCAATTTCAGCCAGGACTCGTTGCCATACAATGCATATAACTGAGGCTGCTTGTGGCTACCAGGAAGCAAGGGAACCTCTTTGGAGCTGTGTTTTTTTGCTGGGGTAAGCTTATATTAGCAGGGGACTGTGGTGTGGCCCTCAGGCCCTAAACAGACCATGCTCCTGTGAGGTACCACCACCTTTATCCTCTCCAGGCACTGCTGCTTTTTCCCTTGCTTGTCCCTTTGTCAGGCAGTTGAGCAAACCTCTCCCACTAGAGTGTTAGTAAAAGTGCCATACAAAGTACTTATGCAGGCTGAAAGTGGGACATGATCTATAAATTATGGGAAAGTTGAACTCAAGATTAGGAAAATAAAGAAAAGGGAGAACATGTTTCTCTTGAAACTGTATCATTTATATGTATACACACATAAATATTCTCAAACTGAAACTCTCCAGGACAGCCTGAAAAGGACAGCTGTTACATTCTACCTTTTTAAATCTCTGCTTTTAAGGGCTGAAGACAGAATGGTATTTTCCAGCTGTGGTTCTCATTCTCTAACTAAACACTTTTGTGTCAGCCTGTCTGTACAAGCAACTAAACGTTTACACTTTAAACATTTCTGTGTCAAACTGGCAGTAATGACCAAGTTATATTTTCTGAAAGGGATAATTAAGAGGTTCAGTGAAAATAAAAAGAGCTGGCACTTTTATATTTAGACAGACATGAATTTAGTACAAGTTGATAGATAAACTCTACTTGTTGAAAATAAAATTATGGTGAAATTTTCTGTATCTGTTTGTTTTTTGGGTTTTTTTTGGCAAGAGAACAGGGACATCTTGCAGTATGCCATGAAGAAAGAATCCATTTAGATGTTGCTAATAAAATCCTTCCTCTTGTCTAGCACAGAGGACATCAGTTTCAGACAAAACTCTAATCAAGAAAAGCAAGGCAAAAGCAGGAGAGGAGAAGGAAGAGTATTTTCAAGAAAAGTAACGAAGCAATTACCTGCAGCAGACCCCACTACACACTCAGGGAGATTATTTGAGCATATGTCTCCATCGGTTGCTATCACATTCAGCTGCTTAAATGGAGGAATACTATTTGGATGCAGAAAACTTCAATACACATTTCTGGCTGGAAGACTGCTCTGGATCCAGGGCTGACAATGAATAAAAGGTATTTCTTCCTACTCCCTTTAAAAGGCACAACCAAAGCACAGAATCTATCCAGGTGTAAGAGGTGCCACACTTAGTTGAGGTGAGCTATTGTGTTCCAAAAGCAATAACAAGTTTCCATGCAGCCCAGCCCTGTCTCATCAGATGTTTGAGAGGTGATCATCTGGACAAGCCAAGACAGGCTGGCTGCAATCCAAATTCAGAAACCTACAGCCATAGTGCCAATAAGAACCACATGGAATCAATAATAGCAACACTGAAATGCTAAGTTAAAACAAACAAACAAACAAACAAACAAACCAACCCCAAAGTAGTAAATATTGCAAGCCCTTCCTTGGTAAACAAATTAATAATTTCTGATGAGGAGTAATTAATATTCAGAAAAAATAATATTGCTTACTCTCATTGCTCCTGTCATGAATGTATCAATAAGGAGATGCACTTTCAACAGTGTCTTTTGTCTTGTAGTGATGAAAAAAAGCCTTCTAACATGAATCAGATTGGAATATGTTTCCCTGGTGCTTTTCTCCTTAACCTGAAGTGGAATTTATCAGAGCCGTAAATTTGCTTACCCTTCTGTTCTGTACATGGAGCACCTCTCCAGAGGAATTTTTAGCACTCCATTATTTAAGCCCACAAAGAGCGATCTGTCGCTGTGCAGAATTTGGAGACTCTTGATTGCTTCCCGTTGTCCGTCAGGGAGGATCTGCATTTCCTCTAAATAACAACTCCTCAGGCTCCTGTTAGTGGTAGAAAGGGCCTTCAAGATGGTGCCATACTCTAATAGAACAAGAAACAAGGCACAAATAAATCCTGGAGGCATTGACTTCATTTCATACCCACCTAAAGAGTGAAATATTAATGTCATCTTTACTGCTTTAAAGCTAGTTCTGGGTCAGCTGCTGCCTGTGGTAGGGAGAGCTCCAACTACATCCTTCAGCCCTCTGCATTTCTCTCGGACAATACAGGACTGACTGTGAATGCATTTTAATGGGAGCCCAGAAGGACATGAGCCATCTGGATAGTGAGCACCTGCAAATATTTCCCAATTGGAGCACTGAGGCAGAAAAGAGTCTGGTTCCATTACCAGTGAGTTATAGAGAAAGGTGACACAAGATAGCAGGGATCATTTCTGGTGCCTCGAGCCTGTATTTCTTTTGGTTTATTGAGCAAATCAGTGTGATGTGACGCCATGACAAATGACAACAGATGCAGCGGCCCTGCTGGAAATCTCAAGAGGCCTCCGTAATGACTGTGTGGGTCACAGATCTAATTGATCCTCTTCCTGGAAGAAGCGATCCTGCCAGCTTGACAAGGGGATGTTATGGCATGAGCAGTGCATGCATGGAAGCATGTGTTCACAGTGCTCTTACCCAAACAATTTAAAGATCTGATAAACCGTGGGAGATTTATGCTGGAGAAAAGGAGGCGATGCCACCATTTTCCATTAAAAGGCCACAGGGGTCAGTCAGCCCCGACTGTTCCTGCACCTTCTTCTCTCTCTCCTGTTAACTTCTGTATTGGTGCCACAGCTCAGCAATTTTTAGTGGCAGGGTTGGCTGTCATGCAAAGCTTCTCTTTCACTTAGGAAGGCCTTAAGTGTGGAACAAGACTGAGGTCCAAGTTTCGGCTCAGTTTGTCTCAAGACAGGGTTTGTGTTCAGGGCTGTCTCTACTGAAGCTTTTGACTGGTTTAAATGTTTCAGGTCCAGTGGAGCTTTACTCCTCAGTCACCACTAACCAGGGCCAGAAAGCAAACAAGAAAAAGGAGGTAAGATTACGTCAGTGGCCCTTTCTACACAAATGATAGGAGGCAGAAGGTATCTCAGCTTTCTCTCAGGTTTTGTAGCTGGAATGCTTCACTTAAAATATCACGGTATCAAAATGGCAGAACCATGTATTTCCGTTTAAGTACAGTTTTCTCATCATAATCAACATCTATGGAGGCTTCCACAGGTGGGAATGTTACTAAAACACATCCAAGATTATCACTTTTGAAGTAAATGGTGGTAAAAGTTAGATAAATTATGACACAGTCCCTGGAAGGTGGTAACATGAGAATGAGGCAATGACTGTGCATTCAGATGTGAGATTAAACTAACACTTATGAAGGCAATCCATCTTATTCTAAAGTCAAAGCTTCTGCAATTGAGGATAGCAACATTATACCCATGAGGCTGGCCATATGCTCTGATTAATCAAATTATTTAATTTAACCTCTATCATTAGTATGAATATGGACTAAGACAACCATTTGTAACACTTTGTCCTTCTTCAGCATCTTTCATTTGTCCAAGATATCTGTGCTTTCCAGAAAAGGCAATGTGTCCTGCTAATTAGAGGATAGCAGTAGAAATCAAGAGACTAAATCACATACTTAATTCTACCACTGGCTCGTTACGCTACCACAAAAAAGCACTTGCCTCAGCTTCTCCATCTGCATTACATTTCAGTGCATGCCCATTCCCAAAAGCACTGGAGTCATACACCAGTAGGCACATGGAAGTGCAAAGAAAGACATAATTAAAACCTTGGGCAAGCCTGGAGGGTAAGTATTATTAGTGTTTATTTAGAGATGAGTATGTCATGGCACAGAGAGACAACTTAACGTGCACGAAACCACAGAGCATTTCAGTGACCTTTGCTCTTCCCCACTGTTATGTATTAGTCTGATTAGTTGAAACATGTTTTTATGAAAGGGAGAAAAATGTTTTTGTTTTTAAACACAATGCAGAATTATGGTCTGTTCACTTGGGACTCTGCCTCAAGTCATCCATCCTGCTTTGAATTTACTCAGGCAGACTAACATCCATGCAGTTTTGGGCCATAATGATGCTGACTGACAACAGCGTAATGACATCATGACCAGGCTCCCAAAGTCTACAAGCAAGTGGAGGAAACTGATGCCCTTACCTGTTCCAATATACATCACATGGTAGAGAGTATCCTTCCCCTGAACAATATCAACCACCAGTCTGGAAAATCGAATGCTGTCCTGAGTCACGTAGGGATCCACGGTCACCGGCTGCACGACGTCGTTCATGAGGAACAAGCGCTGTGCATCCTGCAGGACTCTCTCCGTCAGGTTCTCGTTAGGGCTGTCATCGCTCAGCGTCCCACACTACACGTGAGAGATGGAACTTCAGCACCTGCATCTTCTCCCCGCTCCAGCAACCCAAGACCAAACCCTGAAATTCTTCTGGAAACCTATGCCTTGGTGACATTTTGGGGAGGTGGGTTTGTGTGAGGGTCACAGGATCAGGCCCTTAGTCTGATCATGCGTCCTTAGCCTAGCTTTTGCCTGTAGCTCACTCTTTTAAAATGTTTCTCCCAGCTGGTCCACTGACCAGTGGTGTGGTGTTTCATGCCCTTGTGATAGCCTGGAGCCAGCACACCAGAAGGGGCAAAAGGCATTAACAAACCAAGGAGAAAAAGAACGAATTAAAACTAGTTGTAGAAAGATTTAAAGGTAGTAGTGGGGAGAAGGTTTTTGTGGTGATAAATCCTTGAACAATTCTAATGATCTTCAGACTCCACCTGGCATCTCAGTCTGTACAGAATACAGAAAACTGGAGGTTAAAAAAAATGAAAAAAAAAAATGGGTTGGTTTGCATCAAAGAACACAAATCGTGACACTGCTTTTCTCTGATGTGCTCCCTTCTGAGCAGATCCCTTCGGTTTCACCTGGAGCAAGGCAAGTTAGCCACTAGCTCCCCCCTCCCCACATGCAGTTCTTCTATACACACAACGAATGGCAGATCAACCCATGTCCATCCATTCTCCAGCACCAAGGGGTGCACTGAAACAGGACTCAATGTCCCTGTCCATCCAGAATGGCTGAGAAGAAGAGAGCTCCTCTTGTGTCTTTTGAACACCAGTGTAAGTCCGACCAGGTGGATAGAGCATTCGAAGGTCTAAGGTTCTATCTCACACTAATCTCCAGAATTCACCAATTTCAAAAGCCATTGCAGGATTGGACTCTTCATGCAGTTTTGTGCTTTGTGTCAAAAGCCAGGGCTGTCAACACACGCACGGTGGACAGATTTATTAGTCCAAAGACAGCTGGGTGACTGGTTATTTAGCTTGCCCAAGGCCATGGGAGTCAGTGGTACAACTAGAAATCCTGCCATACTCAGTCCATGGACAACTTTGCTTCTCACTAAGTGAAGCTCACACCTGACTAATTTTGCAAGAAAAAAATCCACAGGTTTTTTTTTTCCCTTCATTTTGGGTCCAGGTGTTTGGGCTCTCCTTGGAAGGCAACTTAGGACACTGAATTAGGATGCTGATACACAGCACTCCAGCCACAGCATACAAACTTCCCACGTGCATTCTCTCGATATGCATCAAAGCAACTCTTTGCACTGTGGCTGCCTTTCCGAGGTGCACCATGCAGAGCATCTCTTAAGACTTGCTACAATAAATTGACAGGAATTTAGCCCACGTTTACACCATAAATATAGATCCTAACAGAAAATGTACTAAGCTCTGCAATATTTTCGAGCTTGTGTGAACGTGGTGCACAGGGTGATACCAATTCCTACCACCTATGAACATGGTCACTTTTATCAGCTGAAGCATCTTCCTGAGTAGCCAGACTAAGGAAACATCAGTGGGTTTTTCGATGTGTCCTCAGGTAGGTTTTAATGTTCTTTTTCTATTGCAGTGATCTTTTTGAATTCATTACTCATCCCACGTTCTAAAGAGATTTTAGATCTCTCTCTTCTGCTGTCTCCTATACTCCTGGTTTACATTACTGTCTTGCTTTGGATGCTTTTTTCCCTACTCTCTTTCCTTCCTAGAGCATCACTGAAGGAGGAGTCCAAGTGGCAGGAATGTCATTGTTGGTTTTGTTTTCTGTTCTCATCAAGTCACAGATAATCCTTTTGGTCTGTTGGCAGCCTGTGTGCTGACATTGCATCCCTCTGGTTTGGTTTTATTTTGTTTTGTTCTAATTTCCTGATTATCTGCACTGCCCTGATCCTCTATATATCCTTCAGTATTTCTCCTTCCTATCTGGAAAAAAAAAAATAAATTCTGGCACTCTTCCCTCATCTTCCTTTGTGAACACTGAGGTTAAAAAAAAAAAAAAATTTTTTTGCAATATCTGCCTCTTCTGTCACTAAATTACCCTTGTCATCTCCTAAGGGCCCTTCACTGACCTCTTGTTCCTCCTGTACTTGAAAAAATCTTAATCTCTTCTTGCAATCTTCCTTTTGTCTGCCACATACCTGCTTTTCCTTTCTTTATTTTCCTCTGACCCTTTTCTTTCATCTTGCTGCTGCAACCTTTGCATTCTACATTTCATCTGATACTTTTCAATACATGGAAATGCTTTCCATAGTCCTTTTCTATTCCTCCTGAGCTAGTCTAGCAAGGGACAGAAAGTCCTTCATTCTCAGTTAATCTTAGTATTTCCTTAAAACAAAAACAAAACCAAACACCCAAGAAACCAACCAGCCAGCCAAACAAAAAGACAGGCCGTGTTTGGCATGGCTGGGCCTTCAGCCAACTTCGTTTCTTGGTTTTGAGTGCACCAAGCTAAGGGGATGATCAAGAGCCCAAACCTGCCCCACGTTGTACAGGCAGAAGCCCCCACTGAGGTGCCATGAGAGAAATCGGGTTCCTAAGCAGGAACCCAAGCATGTCTCTGCTTGCACTGTGGACCTGCCTCCCATCTGCTCTTGCTGTGATCTCAGGTGATTGCAGAGTCCTTGTTTGGAAGATCCCTGACATCCCCAGCTTGAAGGCAGATGGCATTTGCAGGCAGCCTCAGTACCTTTGCTGTAGTAAAGGACAGCCAGATCCACACAATCAGGCTGAAAAGATTCACCATGGGGAAGTGATGAGAGGAACACAAGTCCATCCTCCCTAGGGTTCCCCAGGCTGGAAGGGACTGAGCTGTAAAACAGGCTCATGCTTCAGAAGACTCAGGTTTGCAAGTGCTGTCAAACACATACTCTGCATGTGCTGACTGAACCGGGACATAAAATGACTGAAGTTGTTCTATAATTTTCAAATTGGCCCTAACTGATAATCCTGGAAAGTTGGTCATTCAAAAAACCAAAAACTCTTAAGGTGACAAGGAACCGCTGTGACATCTGCATGTGTCCTCTTCCACCTCTCCCACTGCTGCAACACATCCGTAACTTCTGGCTGAGCTACCATGCCTTGGAAAGACATCCATCGTGCACTGAAACTCTGGGAGTCTGAGGGGCCATGTCAAGTGATGGAAAATTCATCACATCCTTACAGGGCCACAAGGGTTAATTACCTTTCTTCTTCAAAAATACAGGCTGTCTCCACTCTAGTTTGACTTTGTCCAGCTTCAGCTTTCAGTCATTCCAGTTTTGGTGGGGACATGTCCCCTTGTGAGGATCACATTCTTGGAGTTCATGTGTCAGTGATGAGCATAGCAGAGATTTAAATTATTAAACCTTATAAAAAATCTGATCATAAAACTACTCAATTTTTGCCACAAATCCTGTGGTCTCAATAACACGTGGCAAAGAGCTTCACAGAACAAAACACTCATAAATGTGGAGAAATACAATCATCTCCATCGTGGGTCTACCTGGAAGAATGAGCCTCACACAAATCAACCCACTGTAGGGACAGCACATAAAAGGGACTGGAATCAATGAAGGGCAGCAGCAGTACCTGGAAATTAGGGATGGGGTTTAATGTTGGCAGCCACGCTGATCTTGGGTTTTCTTGGTAGCGGAAAGGACCATTAAATGCCTGAGTAATGGCACTCAGATTGAAGGCACACACTGCTGAGGCAGCTATGCTGTTTCTGGAAAAGGTGAGAAAAAAATCAATTTAATCATTAGAACATTGACACCTTCATCATAACAGACATCAAACTCCACTCAAATAAAATACATGTAAATTGCTAGGTAGATGTACAGCGATACCAATCTCACAGGAGTAGAAATAAATAAATAAATAGATTGTAACGTGCAGATGGCTTGCATGACAATTTTGAGAATGAATTTTAAGCTTGGTTTTAAAACGTCTGTGATTTAAGGGCCATGGAAACAGCTCTGACAAGAAAGGTGAATACAGCTGAATTTACATGGATTATTTGTGTCTGGTTTTATTTTTATTTTTTTAACAACCCATCTATCTGTATTGATTAAAAACAACCTAATTTTTAATCTCTTGGTTTTTTCAAGGTGAAATTCTGTTTCTGCAGGCTTCTTAAATCTTCAGCTATAAGATATATCCCTCCTACTTTATACATATCTATGTGTATATATATATTTAAAATACATACATGCATGCAGGTGAAGAGAAAGGGTAACAGTGCAAACCAGGCTGGTTGCTACAGCAGCTCAGCATGCAAAAAGGTCTTGCTAATACATGAAAGCCTCTGTTTTCAATGATCACAGTTCGCTTCTTTGTGTTCCCAGCTGAGAACAGCACCTGTCTCAGGCAGACTGTTCACCACGCACGCACCAGCCAGGGGAAGGAACAGCCAGGGAAACGCCACTGTAGGAAGGACTCTTTGGAAAAGAGTTTGGTTTAGAGATGCTCTGCTGCCCAGCCAGACTTAACACACATATCAGTCAGGCTTTGCAGTCCCATTTCAGTCATGAAGGACCCACTTCTGCAAGGTCCTGAGCAGGCTCAGCTCCTTTTGCCTCTAGAGGGCTGGAGGGCACTTCCCAGATAGTAAGGATGCCTCAGGGAAGCTGGCCCGAGAGGGATGTTTGCTAAATGGTAACGTGAAATTCAAACCTGTTCCCAGCTCTCCCCTTGCCCCAGCTTTTTTTTTTTTTTTCCCAAAAAAAAAAAAAAAAAAAAAAAAAAAAAGAAAGGAAACAATAATGTTTACAGAACAAGATATGAGAATAATACTAAAAATAGGGCTAGCATAAGAGACTGAGTCGTCACAGTGCCTTTTAAATAACTCAAGCCCTGCTGTATGCATCTTTCTGCTAATTAAAGCAATTTGAATTCTCTGAAAAGAACACATTTTTTTACTAAACCAATAATTACACTCTCTCGCACAAAAAAAATAAAAAAATAAAAAAAGCAGCTTTGCTCCATGATCCCAGGCTGGAAAGCAGAAGAAGAGACTCTTTCACTGCAGATTTCTTCCAAGCAATTCAATATCAGGAAGAACTTCCTGCTTTGCCTTTCCATTCTCTGCTCTTGCCCTTGCACCTTCCCTGCCTGGAGTGATGGAGTAGCTCACTTTGAACATGTCAAAGCAACGCTGGGCAAACCTTCCTCCACTTTTGTCTGAACACCACTGATGCAGTGCATGCTCCCAGACAGCAGCTCTTAAGACAAAGCTAATGATGGATGACAAGTAAATGCCTCGAGGCACACATGGAAAAAAAAGAGAATGAGAAAGAAAATGAAAAAGGAAAAGAAAGAATAAAACTCCGCTACTCTAACAAAAATACTTTTTTTTAAAAAAAAAAAAAAGAGAATATATTTTTAGGGCCCTACTAAGGACTCCACAGTTTAATGCTTTCCCTTTGCCAGAGAGGAGAAAGGAAAGAGGTTTTCCATGAAATCTGTGGCCCATTTTTCTTTCCATCTGTGTCCTGGCATATTTCCCATCCCTTCCTATGAAAAGTTTGATCTCAGTCTCAAGCCAGTGACATCAGCTTGTGCAGCTGGACCCTGTGCTGTCCTGCTGTAAAGTGCAACCTCCTTTATTCCTACTCCCTGGGATGAACTAGATCATTTAGAGAATAAGTTAAATTCAAGGAGGTTTTAACATTGTCTCCATTACCTCCCAGAAAAAAATTAATTAATACATATTAACTATTTCATCATCAGATTTCCCAAAAAGCTCTCTTTCCCATTGGTTCAGCTGGGTATAACATAACATGGAGCAGTAACTCCATATGTGTGTGATACCACAACCACTAACACCACTTTGTTATAAGATGACCCTAAATACATTTTAAAATAAAAATAACTTTAAACAAAAAAATCACAGTCTTGTGATATATTGGTATTCTATTATAAATAAATTCAGTCTGGAGCATACATCAACCCTCTTTGGTATGCAGAGCTCATGCAGCATGATATGAGTCCCAGTGGAAGTTAAAAGAATAATTACCATTATTTCTCTAGTCGGATGACAAATTGGAACATTTTCTCTTTGAACTCTCAAAAGAACAGCATATTGTAGACCCAAAACGCTACTTGATCTAACTTCAGCTATTATCAATAACTCATTTCTTCAATTACACCAATGCTACATATTATATTGTCCTCAGAAGATACAAGAGAACGTACACCTGTAATGTATGAAGAGTGACTTAAGTGCAACCCAAAGGAGAAGGGAAACACTCATCATGTCTCACATTAAGCCTGGGAGACAGACACACAGAAGAGAACTGTTCTAATGAGAGCTAGCCTATGTCTCCCTCCTTATAGTCCAAAAACTATACCAATCTGATAAATAGAACAAAGTTATTCATAATTTTCTCATTTCCAACTTCTGTTCTTGGCTGGCTGAATGGACAAATGGATAAATTGATAGATAAAACTTTATCACTATGGGCAGAGAAGTTGTCTGTGACTGAAAAAAACCCTGTAATCTCAAATGCTCAAAGCAGTAGCCAGGTTTCCTTTTAATGTTCAGGAAGTTTGGCTGACATCCTCTAAATGTTTTTAGAGAACAACTCAATGCTCCTTTTAATCCCAGGACAGATTTTTCCCCAAAGTCCACAGTCAAGGTGCAGTGCTCAATAATGTTTGTTTTTTCTAGTTGTTTCTCCACTGGCTCACTTTTGGCTGATGTTGGCAATGATAGTGCAGAAACATAACATGGAAGATGGATGAGGGTGTCCAAACACTTACCTCCTTCTTGGCATTTACATAGAGGGAAGAACACTTGGGCTCTGTTGACTCTCATAGTGAAATTCCCAACAGTGCTTTAGCTTAAGAAGTTGGGGCTGATGCTGTGTGATTTCAAGGGCTGAAGTTCAAGCCCTGTCACACCAGCACATGATACATTACAATAGGAAGGCCTGTAGTTCAGGTGGGCTTCACTTCTTTGGTTTGCTGTGGACTTCTTGGGAACAGATCCTTATTCATACTGAACAGTAACATATAGCACACAAAAAAACCCAAAGAAGTTGGCCACCCAGCATGAGGAAGGCACTTTGAGTATTTGTCGTGTCGAGTAACTAACTTAGATTTTCATTCTCTAGTTTACACATCAGGATAACACTCCCCCAGAGAACATGTATTATTGAAACTCAATACCACGCAGACTGGTTATAGCTTGAAACATCTCATCTTAGCCTTGGGCTTCAGAGGAAAAGTTATTTGAGTTTTCCTGACTTAAAAATGTACATTATGAGATTTTTAATATATTTTTTAATTAACTCCTCTTCTCCTTTCTGCTTTCACAGCTACACTAAATCATTCCAATTACAGGTTTTTTTCAATATCAAGCCAAGAAGAGGTGATTATAAAGTTTCAGAAATCATGCCTTTCCCTGAGACTCCCAATGCTGCTTTTCATTTGCGGATCTGAAACAGTGTGTAGTGGAGGTACAGTCCTGCTTGGGAATGTCAAATGCTGTGTGGCTTGCATGATATTGCTTCTATAAATCGTTGTTCAACAGCAGTTGATGTTGATTTCAGTCTAGGCTGCTGTGATCCCCCCTGCCTCACTCCCTTCCAGTCCTTCTCTCCCTAGTGTATGTACTTGTCCACCTCATGGACCAGCCCCAGTGCTCACACAATAGTGTCAGATTGTCCAGGCTAGTTCACCTGGATGAAAATTAATTATGTTCTTCTGTTGGGTCATTTTTAGGCCAGCAATCTGAACTACACAAGTAACATTGACACTAAAAAAAAAAGTCAGAAGTCTGCCATAGCACAGGTTTATATCAAATTAAGTTACCCTAGAACTGCAGAGTCACCTTTTATGGACTCTAGGAATCTATAAACCATGGATTAAAAACATTGTCCTAAAGGTTATGCTGCCATGATGGATAACACAGACGTATCTACTCTCTCCTATTCATTCAAAAGATCCTTCTGAAAGGACCTCTCAAAAACGATTTCTCAGACTGTGTAAGAATTCAGGATACTCTCAGTCTCAGACTGCTTACGATAGAAGAAGGGCAGTAGAACCAGTGCAACTTACACATTAGTAGTGAAGACACCATAGATCAGATCTTGCTCAGGAAGGTAGAAGGTGCTTTGCAATTCATTATAATAGAAAGGGATTTCTCCAGCACGGGAGCAGTTCAGCCTGGCCTTCATGAAAGTTGTCCATGTGTCCTCCAGCAAGAACCGCCCCCCGATGTCATTCTTGCACACCCTGGCCACCCGCGAGTACACGGTTTTCCCGCAGTCGTGCTCTACCGCGTTCTCGCGGAAGAAGAAGTAGGTGAACAAACCAATGTCGTAGGCAGCAATAAAGTTAGGCTCTGAAAAACAAACATTTGAAGAGATTTATACAGGTCAGAAATCAATCCGTGCTCACTGACTTGCTCGATGTGTTGCGCCGCCAGCTCCCTTTGCAGAGGCTGCCAGAGCTGGGGCCAGAGGGAGTCTGGAGTCAGCAGAGGACATAAAAACAGCAGGTGGGAATAATGGTATGTAGGGACACAGCTCTAGTTCCATTTTTTTATCTCAGAAAGATCCCATTGCTTCCCCATTTTATTAGCAAAGCTGCTACTGATTTCTGTGATTGCATATGCATGACTATTCTCTGTACCTATACTCATTTTACAGCATAAAGCCCTCCCATTGGGTTCCTTCACCTATTCACTTCTGAAGTGCATCTTATGATGTGTTAAATATGCTGCGTGCATCCACCAGATTCCCCACACTCTTGCACTGAAACATTGAACATACCCTCCCAGAGCAATCACATCTGGCTTTTATCACAAAGCCTTTCCAATTTCTAGGCACGAAAGATTATCTTATGTCCCTAAAACAAAACTGTGCCACAGACTGACAGTATTGAAACAAGATATCCTTATTTCTTTTTTTTCCTAGAATTATTGTTATTATTTCCACAAGAATTGAAAGGAACCTGTAATCTGTTTCATAGTGAATATTTTAACTGGGTATCAAACAAAGCTTTAAAGTGTATGGTCATTTATACCAACAGTTTCTTTGGCGAAAAGATTGGCTAATGAGTAATATTTGACTGAACAAAAAAAAAACCAAAAACAAAAACCAGTTTGTTTTATAGGGTGCTTTTACAATATTCATTTCTGACTAATTCTCAAAGGAAGAAGAAAACAGGAAAGTACAGAATTCCTTTAATGCTGCAGCCCGGAGTGAAAGGAGAAGTCATGGTACAGGGAGAGGAAGGCAGCTGCTGCTGCTGCAAAGCAGGTTTGGGAGGCAGACAATGGTACAGACAGGAGGGCATTGCAGAGCATCTGCCATCCAACTTGTTCCTTCAAAGAGGGAACCTTAAAGGCACTGTTGTGATCACCAATCTGACCTTCTGTCTAACATGGACCAGAGAATTGAACCCTGCAATTCCGCCTTCAGAGCCTGTAACTAACAGGTGAATGAAACCACATCTTTCGAAGGAGATCTGATCTTTCTGGACAATGTCACATGCTTTACATCCATCACTTTTCTCAGTGACTTGTTCAAATGACGAAAGACTGCCCCAGCTGCAACCTGTACTACTTCTTCCATTTGATATTGTTTGATTGCAGCTTCCAGTCACAGGCTCTTGTCATGATTTGTCTGCTAAAGAACTTTATCCTGCTAGAAGTCTTCTCTTGATGTAAGTACTTCCATATCATGAACAAAATAATTTTTATCTCCTTTTCAGAAAGATAAATAAATTGAGCTCCTTAAGTCTCTCACTGTGAGGTAGCTTTCCAAGCCTCATATCACCCCATGGCTCTTCTCTGAATCATCTTCAAGTTTTCTGTTTCTTCTTGAAAAGTGGCCAGAACAAGATGAAATTACTCCAATGTCACCAGTGCCAGGCAGGGTTATAAATCCAAGAGTCATGTTAGTTTTTCCCAATCACAGAATAGAAACTCAAAATTCTGTTTGTCTTTGCTTAAACTCCCCTGTTCCAATGTGGCTTCCTTCTGAATTCTTGACTCATGTGCAGACAAGAGGCACATATCTTTACTGAGTGTATATGGGTTATGCTGCTTCTTGATCCTAACTCACAGTCTGGCCTGATGACATCCTTCTCCCAAAACTCCAGATCTCCGTAGCAACTTCAATATGTCTGCAGAAGCCTATTTCAGTTTCATTAAGCTCTAGAGAGTGCACAGTCTCATTCTCATATCATTGATTGAAAGGTCCTGAAACCTAGTAAAGAGATTCTGAGTATCTTGTCAGCTTACCTGGGTCAAAGGAGAGAGGTAGAATATTGAGGTCTCCATCACTGTAGTCTGCCCAGACAAGACGTGCTTTACCCCAGTCACAAGGTGTGGTTCAGTGCAGGAATTACTGGTTGAAATTCTATAGTTTGCTTGATGCAGGGTATTATCACACTAGGGTAACAGATGCTTTTAATAGCTATAAATCCACAACAGCATGGGTTCACATGGAACATGACGTGCTGTGAAATTTCTCATTTTCAGACTCCTTTGGCACTGAAACCAACCGTCTTAAGTTGAGTCAGTGGAAGTAGAGGGTGCTTAACACTGTGCTGGACTGGGTCCACAATATGATGTTTTAAGTTGGTTTTGATCTTCAAATCTTTGAATGGTTTTCTTGTAAAAATGATGTATTTGGTCATCTCACGCAACAGAGACCCGGATACATGTTAAGTAGCCTGTAAGACCCACTTTCTATATTTTAAAGCAACTTCTTTGAAATACTTCCAGGCTATTTTTAAATGTCTTCTAAGCTGCATCAGCTACTGCACCAGAAGCCCTTCCCCATCATAACTCTGGATCTCAAAATGAAAACAGAGGGAGATACACAAGCTGACTTTAGTACACCTCTTGCTCAGATATGACCCACATGACTTTACCGTTGAGCCATTTGGAGTTGTATTGTGCTGTCCTGAGTGGGGGAACATTTCCAAGGCTGCGGTAAATAGCAGGATCCCGTCCAGAGAAATCAATGACAGTTGCAGCATAGAGTTCTCCTCGTGATGTAATCACAGCTGTTGAGTTATGCCGAGGGTCGTACGGGCACCGAGCCACTCCATTAATTCTGTCAATGATCTTGCTAAGATTTCCTACCTGTATTTAAAAGGAGACAGGAGAGAATTTAAAGAGCATCTGGCTTTCTTACTGGTATAGAGAATTCAGTTTGTCCACAAGTACCTATGAGCAAAACCCTGACTTAAAAAAAAACCAGGAAGCTATAAGAATATAATGTCAGCAGTGACTGTAAATTGATCCTTACATCCATCATTTGCCAACGTAATAAGAATGTAATGCCAGCTATGACTGTCAATTGATCTTTACCTCCACAGTTTGCCAGCACAAGAAGTCGTGTCTGAGCCTCACTGATCCTATTGCTTTGTAAGAAAGGCAGTTCCCTGGCCCCAGCCCACTCGGTGTAATCAGGTGCTCCTGCTGCTAGCATGGGTTTCTAATCTCCCACAGACACCTCCTCAATGCATACTGGCATTAAAAAATACAAAAATAAATGTTGCTCTGGACCTGCTCCTGCCTCCCTTGAAGCCAAAGGAGGTTTTGCCATTTATTTTATGGAAACATTCAAGTAACTTTGCCCAGGTCCAGCTCATCCATAATATGAGATTTTTGCACTCCACCTGCAGATATATCCACTGCCCTGGAGCAGCCCAAAGGGGCTCAAAGAAGAAAACCAAAATAATTTCAGATTAGCTACATTTGGAACATATTTTCTGCAGCCATGATGCTCTCCTAAATAACTGGCCTCCTCCAGGGCACATATCCAACCCTCTTCATTACTGTAAAAGAGGCAAAACAGACCTGTCGACTGGAACACACCGGTGAAAAGGCATTGGTGCCACAGGTAAAAACCTTCTTGCCATAAACAGTCAGCACTCGGACATAGTTCTGGCACTCTTCCTACAGGGACACAAGACAGAGACAAAGGATTTTTGAGAAGGAGACTGTGGGGTTATTTATTACATTAAAAAAAAAAAAAAAAAGATTACCAGTATAGCAGCTGGAATACACCTTCTTTAGCTCTAACTTGGACTGAGCTTTGTTGCATCAAGCGGTGCACAGCTGAAAAGAGCTAGTGATCTAAGTGAGCAAGCCCAACTTTCTGGTTATTTCTCTAATCAAAGCCCTCCACAGTCCCTGGACAGGATGTTATCCATCAGGCTGACTGTACTTGCTACACAAGTGTCTCCTTTTGTGTTCTGCTGAGACTGGAATCCTCCCTCTTTTCCTGATGATACTTGCGACCCATTTTTCCCGGTGGTGTTGGAGCTTTGAAAATATTATGCAGACACAAACTCCAGTGAAGGACAGTGGGTCCATCTGCACTGTAGTTCACACCACTGCCAGCAGGAAAACAGCAGGAACTTCTCTTTAAGAGACCAGGCTGGTCAGGAGGATCTTGTGCTTGAACAGCCTGTTACTTCCTGCCCCACAGAAGGATTGCGTGCTCAGGATTTTCCATGGTAGAAGAAGTTTCTCTTTCATGCCAGGCCAGTGAAAAATAGCAAATCCCCTCTTCTCAGCTGCATGACCACTTGCTGGTACAAACAGGCAATTCCCTCCATGTGCCAGTCCCCAAAAAGCTGTGGAGCTCCTGCCATCCCACGCTGGGGTAGGTGTGGAAGCACAAGGCTGCCGTTGGCTTTTTTCAGACAATCTCCTCCATGTTGTTGGAGAGTGCCACAATCTCTCTGTCTCCCCACAGCCTTGTATCCAGAGACCTGTGGACTGCAGCTCAGGCTAAGTGAGCATCTCCAGGGAGTTAAGGAGAAGGGGAGGAAGGGGCTGTATCAGGAAGGGACTTTCTAACATTACATTCAGGGAGAGGGAGGTGTGAGTCTAGTAGGCAAGTCCCATAGGCAGTGCAAGAGCCTCAAGAGCCATCTGCCCCAAGGTTCATCCAGACAGCCCCACGGAGAGATGTACAGTGAGCCTGACACCAGCCTGCCTGCCCTGGGCTCTGTGGCCATCTCAGAGGAAAGCATATGAGCAATGGCTAATGACTGGCACCCACAGTGCTCCAAGTGAAGGAAGTCTATTATATTCCACTGTAAACAGAAAAAGAAACTTGTTTAAAAATAACAACCTTAGCTGGGTTATCCTAGCTGCTTTGTTTTCCTCCTTCCAATAGATCATAATTTGCCATTAAACTGAGTCTACAGCTGCAGACACCTCTTCTTCTGTAAGCAGCAATCACTCTGCAAGCTTCCCTGTCTCACAATGCTCCACATGGCTGATCATTTCCCTGAAGACTTCATTTGCAAGATCCAGCAGTGTAGAAACACTCCCTATCATCTGGAAAGGAAGGAACTTGCTTAGCTGGATTATGTGCTCTCTCCTTTCATTTGCTGTACAGAAATCAACTTGTTGAGGAATGGAATTTAGCAGAAACCCACCAGCATTTTCTACATACAAGGAACTGCATGGGTATGACACGTAGGGCTTGCTTTTGAATGGAGAAGATCGCAGAGACTGCACTCGGAGACAGCCCAGGAGCACTCAGCCACCCCAGGCAGAGGCTACAGAGGCCCACAGAGCGGGTGCTGCCAGTCTTGAGTCTCAGCAGGGACATCAGGTAGCAGATACATAATGCCTGGCACCCAAAAATGAGAGTTCAGATATATAGCCAGGTCGATTTAGCACTTGTTATTTCAGAAGCAGATCAGTCATGGTGACTGTGCATCATTCTGTCAAATAGGACCTGGAGAAGCACTGTCCCACCTGCTGTGTGTTGAGAATAGAAGTCTCATCACTTCCTTTAACAATGGGCTTGCCAGCCTCTCTGCCCTCTCCCATCATTGTTCTGTGGTACTGTAAGCCCTGATAGTTATTCCTTGTCTTCCAGGTGTCTGTACTGCATGAGTGGGTTAAGTAATTCCTCTCTCTGCAGAGCACAGTTATTCAATCCTAAATAATATTATGACCACTATGAATTTAGCTGCAAAGTATTATAAAATATTGAAGGGATACTATAAAAAAAAGCTATGGGCTCTCCTCCCAAAAGGGTTTTGTTTTCAGAATACAATTGATTTGGCATCTAAAGCAGAAAGTAGCTCTCCCCCCAAATTTCCCACAATAAGAGAGTACCCATCTGCTCCCCCTCAGCTTCCACTTTGCTTTGTACAGAGTCAGAGCATAACTTCTGACCTAAACCAGCTATTATTATTTATGTTGCTGGACCCTTTTCTGCCTAGGAAGAATTCTCTTCTCTGCACAGAACTACATTACAGACGGACAAACTTCAATTTCTATACAGATTTTCCCAGGTAAAAAGACAACACATAAAAAAACCATTTCTCTGAGAGGTCATGTGCTGGTTGGTCTTCTGGAGTCCACTGGCAGTGATGCATCTGTTGCATACTGTACTCCAAGGTGCAGTAGCCTGGCTTGATAAGGATGCCAAAAGCTGGTAAATGTTGTGTTATTTTAGCCTAATTAGGCACAGTTTTACTTGTACCCATTCAGTCCAAAGCAGAAGCTATTTACTGAAACAGAGGAGAAACCATACTGAGCAAATATATCTGCTGCTGTCTGAACGAGCACCAGAATATGTAATCTGTGACTTCCAGCCCATTCTCAACTGCAGCAGCAAAGAGCAGAAGAGTACAGTCAGTCTGGGTGAGGTGTTAGACTCGAAACATTTGACAGCTGATACTTTTGAGGGAACTGAATGCACCAAGCCCACTAATTATTTCATTGGCTGTAAGAGCCAGAAACGGGGGTGTCTAGTGGATATTTTCTACTTCACTTAAGTAACATCCTCCTAGGTGGGAGCCATAGGCAACTGTAGCAGTTCCTACAAATTAACTGAGTCGGTGTTTTCCCTGGACCTGCCTTATTTATGCTGGTAACAGTGCTCCATGCTCCTGGAGGAAGAGCAACAATAATATGTACCCTTCATACACCAGTCTCAAATAAATTTATACAGCTTAAAGTAATGTTCTGAAACAGATAAACAGTATCTGCCCCATTCTCTCAGCTGGGTGAATCAGAACACGCAGGCGCTAAAGGACTTGCCATGGTGACAGGCTGAGTCAGAGGAGATCCTGAAGGACAGCAACAAAGGTCTAGCTGCCAGAGCACACCTCTCTAACCTGCCTGGCCTGAAGAGGAATAATGTGCTAGTCTTGTATTTCTTATTGCTGTACCCACTGCCATTCATACCAGCCTATACCAAACACAAAGAAGAAACTCAGTCACTTAAATGCTCCGGTTTGCAGGATTTTTCTCAAGACACTGTCAGTCAGATTTACATTAGATCCTCTTTCTACCCTACTCTCAATGTAACTGGCAAGGGACAGCCTCCTCTCTCTGTTCTTTAAACCAGCCTGGATTTGCCTCAAAAAGTCATCCAACACGTTGCTCTCTGTAACAAATCGTAGCTGAGGCAACTGGTTAGTAAAATGATCTCACAAACCCCTAGAGAAAATAGGAGCTATTTAATGCAGTTTCTTCCATGTAGCTGGAAAACTCTAGGTGTGCAGGAGGCAAAATTCAAACAATCAGAAAATCTGGCAAGCTTGAACCCAGCTCTGTCCAGACAAGACAATATTTGGATTCTGCTTTCACATTATGGAGCAGACAGTTAAATCTGTGTATGAACAGTCTGCAAATCGCATCACCAGAAAATATTATTTGGATCAAGAGATTAAGGATTTAAATAAAGGGGGAAGACTCAATATTTATATGGTTAATGAGAATTACCCAGTTATATTAGTTGGGATTATTATTAAATATATGGCAGAGCTGATAAAACCCTGTGGCTCACTCCCAGAGCATTAAGCCTATCTCCAATTTTCCTATGAATTGCATGTTACCTACTTTTGGGTTCTTGCTCTTTCCTCAAAATTATCTGGTACTGGTCCCTTTTTTGAGATAAGGCCTTAAATCGAGCAGATAGCCCTTTTCTCCAGTCTAAAGACCTTTGTTTTCCTAGAAAGGAAGAGTATGTGACTTTTAATGCTTAACCCTACAGAGCACAGGGTCTCACTGTCACTAAAAGAATAAACTTCACTAAAGCTCCTCCCTCCCAACACCCTTAGGTTAAGCTCATCCTAATTAATTCATTTTTGGTTTTTAGAATTAAATGTGTCTGGCTGTGAATGCCGTAATGTCCACGACTGTGGCCAGGACCAGGCCTCTTTGTAGCTCATAGAGACTTCAAGCTGCTTTGAAAGCACATTTCAAACCCGAGAATCAAGAGTGGTACCTGGTTGCTTCCTTCATACATGTGGACAGATCAGCAAATGGAAAGGCTGAACTCCTGCCAGCTTTAGTTTGAGGTAAAATTCAAAAAGACTTTTTCCAGGATGCTGTGCATAAACCAGCTGGAGGTGCTTCCTGAGTCGTTTCTTCTGTCATTTCTGAATACTGGAGCTCTGAAATGTTCTAAGCCCTTAATCTCATTGTACAGATGTATTTTTTTTTGAAAGCGTAACTATATATAGGGAAAGCATAACCATATATAGGCATTACATTAATTGGCCTTTTACTCTGAATAATCCATTCAAGCCCTGTTGTCAGAGATCTTTTTAATTCTTTTCTTTTTTAAGCTAACATTATTTCATCACATACTGATACATTTTAATCCTAGAGTGAAAACACAGTTCCACGCTGTATGAGAAAAACAGCTGCTTCAGATGGTCTGCTCTCCTCAGCAAAGAAACATACTCCTGGAGCACTACATGGAGTTCAGAGAATCAGCCAGCAGAACTCCACGTCACCCCTTCAACAACATTTCAGAGTGCAGCAAACTTTTAATTTATCTATTGCAGTGCAACCCAATTTGTTAAAAAATAATCAAGACCTAACATGTTCTTGAGCACTGTTATTAACACGCTTTCAGATATCTACATTATTTCTCTGGACAAACAGTTCTATTAATGAGTTTAAGCCAATGCCCTGACCAAGCTGTCTTTCTCCTTTGAGTCCAACAGCTAGCAAAGAGAATTGCTGATGATTTTGCCAGCCAAGTTTTCCTTACTGGACTTCAAATCAAATTTAGGGGCTGATTTTGCATTGATAGCTTAGCAGAAGTACTAGGAATGTAGGTTTAGATCTCTAGGAACAGCTACAAAGGGGGAAAAAAATATCTGACTGCCTCCCAGTTATTTCAATTTGCCTGGGGGTTTATATGGGGCCTGTTCTACCTGGATGCCTATTTTTCATGCATGGTGTGGAGCTCCAGCTCCACTAGCTAACCGAAGGGCACATCCTCTGAGTGACACAGAGCCACTTTGAGGCCTGAAACAGCTGGGTCCTCCATTGGTTCAGCAATTTCTGCACCAAACCCACTTAGCTGAGCTGAAGTTTTGGGCTAGGATTTCCCTGTAACCTTGTATGAATTGTAAGACACCCCAGCAACAGGACACCATACAAGAAAAGGAAGAAACGATACTGGCAATATGGTGGGATAACAGGGAACTGCTTGCCTGTCAGACATTTCTCTTGGTTCTTTCTTGCTCCAGAAGTATTATTAGTGTGTCATATTTCTCCTGGCTACAGAAAGCTCTTAGGACAGCATGTAAGAGCTGCAATTGTCACTGGCATTTTCACAAATGGTTCCCTTTCACATTTTGAAATTATGGTATGCTGCTTTTGGAAAGTTAACAAATAATTCTGTGCTTAGACAGGAGAAAGACTGAAGTGCTTATGTTTAGAAAAACCACAACTTTCCATGTCAGGCAAAATTCTTTAGATGTGGTGGATGTGAAATGTTATGAAGAGAAAAACCAATTACAAACTAGAAGCTGAGCAACTCCTAATGAAATTAAATACACCCCTTTCCCTTCTGCACTATCCATCACTCATTTTAACTACATAACCCTTGGGCAATTTCATTTGGAAGACAGAAAGAAAGGCAGCATAACACTGACTTTGTTCTCTGCATTGTCTCTGAGTAAGGTGGATGTTTTCCAGGGGACAATTTTAAGGTGCTGATCATGACACATTTCATAAATGCTGCAAAAATAGGAATGATTACTCATGGAGTCCAGCATGGATCTCTAGAGACATGGCAAGGCAAGTAAAGCATGTACAATTCTTTGAGGAAATCACAAGTCTTGGTTGGTAAAAATAACCTAAATGAAAGAGACTTTTCTGAGGTGTTTGTTTTAATACCGCATGATATATTGCGGAGAGTTAATTTTAAAATCTGGTTCAAGAACTTATACATTAATGGATTAAAATCTGATAAATTACTGATCTGGAAAAAGTCCTCAGAGTGAAATCATTCATAAACTTGCTATTCTAGCAGGGCTCCAGAGGGGGGGGGGGGGAGAGGTGGTACTAGCCCAGTATCAACGTTTTTCTTAACAAATGTTTGTGGATAACCCAAAGATTATGAAAATAGTTATTACCAGTGAGGCAAATGCTTCATTATATGTATAATGATATATCCTAGGATGCAGAACCCGAAAAATAAAATGCATTGGAGAACCCAGATTTTTACTTTGTAAAAAAGCCTAACTACTAATTTGACAAGAGCATACAAATCTCTTTGTAAAAAATAAATACTGGTAACTAAAGGGCTCTTTAATCTAGCACAGAAGGACAAAATGAGATGCAGCCACTCAAAACTGATGCCAGATCCAAAGAGGAAATGAAGTCCACATTGATAACAGGGAAGGTGGTCTACTGTCAAAGTAAACCAGCAAAGCACAGTCAGCCCATCAGCTTCAGGCCTTCAGTTCAAAACTTTTTGCCTTCCTCAAAATGGTGCAGCAGCCAAACACAAGTTACTGAGCTCAGTTTAAGAATAAGCAGGTGAAATTTGTGACCAGAGCTACAGAAGATGTCAGAAACTGTATCTTCTAACCTTAAGTCTGGGACCCAGATTTCTCATCTCCTTTTTCCTTGCCAATATATACTTAAATGTAGAGTAACCATCATGCCATATTAATTATACTTCTGTGATATGCATTTTGTGGCTTTTATTCTTGCATTTCTTACTTCCCTTATGGTAAAGCTCTAAACGCTTTAGGAAGGTATTTTCTTAGCAGTAGGAAGAATCTGATTTAGATACTCAAAAGGCATAAGAATGAAGGGGGAAAAAAAGGCATTTTAATACAGTAGGTGGCTTTGAAAACCTTATCCAAAAACACATACAGGAAAGGAAAATGGACCAGTCACATAACTTACACAAACTACACTGTGAATTAATGTGAGAGTCAAAAGTCCTCCTTATTTCTAGCCTCTATCACCACATATCTAAGTACCTAACAATCCATAACATGCTTATCATCAAATCATCTGTGCTAGGTAGAAAAGTGCCATTAGTCACGTTTTGATAAAGCAGAGCTGAGGTAGACAGAGCTCTGCATCTTGTACCACCATTGCACAGCAGAATCAGGAATGTTCACATAAGTGCTGCCCTCACTTGCTGCTCCTACCCAGCCAAGGGCAGAGATGTTGGGTCAGAGCTGGACTTCGTAGCTGGAGTAGAGCACCTCACCAGCTAGACTAAATGGTATTTTTGGAGCTAGCACTGAGCCATTTCTCTGCAGTGTAACAAACAATGAACGTGCAGGCTCACCCCAAGAGGGGCTCAGCCATGGACACAGGTTAGAGTAGATACAGACTTCGGGGAACTAAGTTTATTTGGCTACTGCAGAATCCTTCTGCCTTTGTAGCTTCACATCATCTTGTCAGACTTAGTCAAGACCTCTGTTTGCCGTTAATTCTGTCAATAAGTGTATAATGATCTTTTTATCAATGTTTCTCAGAATTTCACACCCTTGGCCACTGTGCCCACTGAACAATTTCAAGCTCTGGATAACAATCGGCATAAACTCAGCTGTTCAGAGCACTATTCTCATGAAATTATTGGCAAACCCTGCAGTTTGAGGAGGCATCAGCAGCAAACATAGTCTGATCATTGCTTTCTTTGGGCATGACACTAAAAAAGATAAATTGAAATTATTCTAGAACTTGTTCGGTCAAATGCATAGCTTTATCCAGGGGCTGACAAAATAATTCGGGGTTATAAATTCAATTCTTCATGTACAATAGAATACAATTTAAATCTCACAAATTTTACCATGGAAGAACAAAGGAACAAAGACTACAAATTTTAAATATCTTCATGTCTTGGGTTTTGGAGTTTTTTAATTCTGCCCAAATTCTATCAGGTTCTTCTTCTCATTGCTGGCCATGTTTGGTGTTCACCCAGCCCAACCGATTTTGCCTGCATGGTGTTTTCCTGCATTAACAGATCCTCCACGAAACACTAACATATGTCCTAGGATACTCAAACTCCTCCACAGCTACATGAAGCAAATTGTTCCCTATCTGGCAAAATTCAAGCTAGCTTTTTTTGTGTATATAAAAGTTAATACAGTAATCACATAAAGTTTATTATATAAAATGAATGTGGTTAAGGGAAGATCATATAATACTGTGTTTAAAGCACTGAACTGGAACTTGACAGAATTCCAGCACTTCGGGCCAGACACACAATCACTCTCTGCTTGACTGTCCATGTCTAAGCAAAGATCATGCTTATCCTCTCTTACCTTAAACTCTTTTGGTTTAGACGGAGGACTCTTTGCAGTGTACTATAGAGGACAATGGGACACCCTTTCAGTTGAGGCCTGAAGATTTTTTAACAGTACCAGTATTACCCTTAAAAAAATCAAACCATCTCCTGCTTTTAGACAGATGGTTTTGTTTTAGCTTCTCAGAAGAGAGGCAGAAAGGACCTGTGTTTGGATCAGAAATGTCTGCAAACTCTGAACTGCTGGGACACCACGCATTGGTTCAAGAAATCCTCACATTAAACTGCCATTTAGCAGCCTGCACCTGCCTCCAAAGCAGCTCTGTGATATTCCATCTGAACAGACTGCAGTGTGCTAGCAGGTTCAATTCTCATGTTCAAGGGAATTATAAAAAGATAAACTTCAACTGCAAACAAGTGTTGAAACCCACATGGATGAATGCCAGCGGCTCACTGCTGAGTATCTAGACTAAGCCAGCCTGACCAGTGTCAGACCCCACTGCAAGACGTTACTCTTGACTTGCCACCACTCTGCTCCTTGATGTGTCACAAATTGTGTCCTCTCCAGCAGTGAAATCACCTTTAAATTTCATGCAGAGCAAGTCTAATAACTTGGACAGGGGGTCTTTGAAATGGCTTGCTTGGTGGTGCTTATACATTTGTGGTGGTAGATCTAAACTGCTGCAAATTTACAAGCTCAAGCTGGTGTCAGACTCTCCCTGTGTGGACTTCACATGATGCAAATACATTTACCCATAGCATCATTGCACCAAAGCAAAACTTACCTCTGTTTTCCCTTTACTTTGACAGGACCTCCTGGTGTCTTCATCTGAACCCCATGCTGTTGCCTGAGAAACCAAAATGCACAAGTCACATGACAATGCCACCAACCACCATGTCTGGAGACTCCCAAAACAAGAGCAAGTATCTCCAGCCAATTTACACAGCCCAATTTAAAAGCAGCATTGTGACTGTAAACATGTATCTCTCACTCCCACTGTGCTCACAGGGCACACAATGTAAAATAGATGACAAGTCCAGAGGCAGGAGTAACTGGAACGTTAACAGAAGACAGACTTTAATTTACATGTAAATACAACTTCTGATCATCATTCAACCGGAAGGTCCAAGACATAAGCCCCACACACTGAGCCATCACCTTCTGTCCAAAGAGGACAGTGCTGTACAAAACCGTCAGCTTTAACCACCAAAATGAAAACCTTCCCTACAGCAAAGTCAGGAGGTCTACACAAATATGCTGGCCTCCTTAAATTTACCCACAAGATTATCACTTTCTAATTAATGCTGCAGTGAAGTGAGCTGGATAAAACACTTGGGAACTGACAGGTGAAACTCGGAGAGATGGGAAGCAGAGAGAAAAGTTGGATCCTTTCCAAAGGTGAATGGAAACATGATTTGTGATGCCAGACAAGTGGGGTCAGATTCTGAGGTGGAGTAAAATGCATTAGGGCTGAGGGCACTACTGACTGGGTGTAGGATCCCCACTCAGCTCTGACTGACTGCTTTGGAGCAAAGAAGCCCCTTCCTTCGCAAGAAAAGTCAAGACCAGCAAAGCTGCATTAGAGAGAACTTCTAGATTTAAAATATTCAGCAACATACCCAACTACTCAGAGCCCTCTGCAACTTTCCTCCTTTCAGCATTTTTTAAAATACTCCTAACAAATTCAAGCAGGTATTGTTAGCCAGAGGTGAAAATACATATAAACATCCATACTATACATAATACATCATTCTGAATAAAAGAAAAATAGCTCTGTTACTTAGGGAAAGGCCAGGCTCACAAAGTTCAGATACAGATCCAAACCTCCTCTAAAAGAGCCAGGATTTCTGTTTTTTTCCCCAGTCCATTACCAACACAGGAAATGGCTTCAAAGTTCAGTCTGGATCTGAACTCTTCTTGAACCTTCTCACTGCAGGCAATATATTTAAAAAAAAAACAAACTCTGGGCTTCCATAGAAATTATCCCTTCCGACGCATGATAAATGCTGTTACTTTGCAGAAGAAAGATGGGAAACCAGTAAGAAGAGGGGATTAATTTTCTCACACCCAGCTCAGGTCCATAGACACTTGCTCAGATCCACAAGAAATACCACCACCCAAGAAATGCATTTATACACAGCATTTGGAGAAGGCATATTTCTGCCTCATTAAAAAAAAAAAAAAGTTATCTTCTCCATTAGCTGAGCATTCAGTTCAGTTTGGCTTGAAGTAAGCAACGATCTGGTGGGTGGAGGTAAAGCAACAGACCTTTCCCTGGGAGTCACTTGGGAAATACCTCCTATGTACTGCACTGCAAATCAGGCCAAAGGCCAAAAGCTTGAGCCTCAGAAGTGTTTATGTGAAAGATTGGACAAATCCTTGTTGGAAAGGATCATTTAGCCATATCCTGAGAGCGGACAGCTCACTGGATGAGAGAGACCTTGTCAATAAGACATCACAGGAGAGCAAGGAATTTTGACTGGTGACTCCCAGGAGCCCTGAACATCTGCAAAACAACTGAGCAGCAGCATTTTGATCCCCAAGCCCAAATGTAGCCCATATTCATCCAGTCACAGTATCCTTGCACAGTGGATCATTTTTTGACAACCTTAACACAGGAAAAAAAATCCAGAAAAGAGACAGCTTATTAGGTGGCTCTTCTTCCCATTTCAAAACCAGAGGCAGGCCACTCTCCATTCTACAGCCCCGTTTACCTTCGCAGTGCTTGAAAGGACAAAAATGAAAACAAAAAATGTTGTCTACTTCAGCAATCGATGCTGCTTCTCTGCAAATACTCTGGGTCTTCTGGGATTGTATCAACGTAACAGAGAAAAATTTGGTCACCTAGGGGACACTTAGCTCTTCCTGCTAGACACCTGCATTGCAGAGCTTTGAGGCATGCTGTAAACACAGCTCATGTCAGAACACTGGTCCCCTCCAGCTATGTTCTTCGTACTTTTATTAGGCAACACTGCTCTTCGGCTTTCTGAAGAAACCTCGATGAGTACACTAATAACAGAAGTTCTTGGTGATGGCCCAAATTACAGGAACCTGTTGTTCATGACTGCACCATTAGTCAGGCTGCACTTTGTTAGAGCTAAGAGTTTAATTAGGCAATATGGCAATCCAGAGCATGTTCTACAAGTTCCACACATGTTTTAGGGGAACAGGGAGGAGCTACTTTGAGGGCCGAGAAGCTACAATGACCTCTAGTGACTCAAAGAAAATATTCATGACCCTGCAAAGCAGAAGATCTTGTCAATAATAAAAACATAAGTGCAAAGCCAAGGAGCTAATGTGGTTTTAAATAACCGTACTGCAAGGTATGAGCATGCACCAGTCAGCTGACTTACAGCCTGGACAAGTCCCTCTGATGGGCTCTCAGGATCCCACACACCTCTGTGCCCACAGCCTTTGGGTTGGACCTGTTAAGAGGTCTTGGGCAGACTCAAGACCTCCGAACTGGGGGCTTTCCCATGATCTTTACAGCACTGTTTGGTTTCTTCACTTGACTGATCAGCTGTCTTTTCAGATCACAATGTCCCACTATTGTCATCTCTGTTGTCTTGGGCTTCTCTGTGCAAACAGAGAATGTGTATTGCTGGTGCTCTATGTCCTGCATCTCACTGATATATCCACCTGAAACCTTCCCAGATGAAATTTTCTTCCTCTACCTTAGATTCATTTTGCCTGAGAATCAAACTACATCCTGGCCATTGACAGAGACACCTTCTGAAAGGTCTCTCTCTTCTGAAGGACACCTGTGTGCACCCATATGCTTCTCAGCGAGGCAGACATCTACCTGACACCTACCCAACACTATAGCACTGTAAAGGATGCTTTGTACTTTTGCCTCCCTACCGAATCATAATGCTTCTCAATGGCCAGCTTCTTGCACACTGACTTAGCTGCCTCCCTGCCATTTCTTCATCTCACTCACTAAAGCAAATCAATACTGTTTCTTTTTACTGCTGAAAGCTGTCTCTGTATGCTTGGTTGAGGTAGGTACAAACTGTATCTACCAGAATTTTTTTTGTCATTCACTTGGGTCATCATCCTGAATTTATGAATCATTTTCTCAGCTGCCTGAGACATCTAAGTGTTTCATCTCCAGAAAATACATCTGGCATTATTTTTGTACCTCCTGCTACGTGTTAGTCAAAAGCAGTAGAGCAGACACCTCTGGACCCATGTGGCAATAAAACAACTTTCATGGCATGGGTCATGGAGAACTGAGCCTGAATAAAGATGTGACAAACATGGGAGCAAGGCTACATACAAACACAGGACAGGCTGTACTTTCTCCTAGCTTCCCTACTTGCCACGTGCTTAAATAACCATGCCAACACTTTTTTAGGCTGTCAGGACATCAGCAGTTCCTCCCCTTACAATGATACCAACATCCTTACCATGAGCACTCCAGCTCCCATGATACCTCCTCACAATTTCTCCAGCATCTCTTCCCTCCTGCGTTTCCAGAAGAACTGCAGTTTCTAACAGTGTTCCCAGCCATTCTGAGGACCTCCCCTACAACTGCATGGTCCACGTGCAGAATAGAGGAACACCAGATTCACACGCTGTACAAATGAAGCAACCAGCTCAGAGCTGCAGCTGCTGCATAAGACAAGAGCCGTGCAAGCCATGCGCAGGACTGCCCAACCCTCTGTGCAAACAGGCATGAGGATGCTAGCAACTTTGTCTGTGAAGAGAGAACACAATTCAATGTGCCTTCCATTCAGCCTATTTACATGGACACCTGGTTCTCCACATCTCTGTTTCTGCTCTGGGGTCTATGCAGGCAGATTTTCTCAATAAAAAAGAAAAAAGGGGGGGGGGGGGAACCTGTGTCTTATTTCTGTATCTTTAGGAAGTCACGTAAAGGAGAACTATCGCAGGAGAAGCAGTCGTGTACAACCATGTATACCTGGTGCAACACTGCCCAGCTAGAAATTAACAGAAATGGGCAACAATGGCTAAACTCAGGGCCTATCTGAATATTCAAATGGCATGCTCAGGCACAGAAAGAAAGAGTTAATATTTCTTCTAATAAATTATGAGCATCACAGCTTGCTCTCAGTTCAGGCCGCAGACCAATAGTGCTCTAGAAATTCTAGCTCATCATGTGCTGTTAAATAAGTCATTCAGCATGCATTGCTGAGAGCTTTCCAGATACATTTATTTAATTACCTGTATATCCCAGTGTCGGCATCCAAAGTACCTGTCTGTCACTAGCAAGTCCTGTTATCAATAGTTATGTGCATCCTCAAATGCTGATGTGAAAATCCCTTCACTTCTATGGACCAGCTTTTACACTGAGGCCAGTAATTTCTAATTACTCCAAAAACCATGTATGAATGGAATAGATTAAACATACACTGATCCCTGCACTGTAGTCACACAACAGAGGCTCCAGGGTTTTATGTAAAACCAGAACCTTGCTTTAAAAGTGGAAAGTGAAGACTGGCAGAGAATAGGTTACATGCATATTTGCTGAGTAAATTAAACGTGTTCTTTTTTTTCAAAAGTCTTCTATTACAAACCTATCCATCTGTTACCAAAGTCACTGCCATGAACTAAGTCCTCTGTGCAAGCTAGTGGCTTGCATGCCTGAAGACAGATCCAGAATGACTTTGTTCTATCCTATTAGGGAGAAAGAAGTGTAATACAAAAATGCACATTGTGTGTGTTTGGAAGGATATGAAAAAAAAAACCAAACAAGTCCAGGTTTACTGCAAAAAAAAACCCAGGGACTGATTCTGTGAGATGCCCAGCATTTCCTAAAAGGTACTGAGTTCCTTCTGCTAGTGTCAGCAGAAGCAGCACCTCGTGCCTGAGGCTCAGGTCTGC